ATATATATATATATATATAAAATATCTAGTGACTTATCTACTTATCATCTACTTGACATAATTTCTTAAATTTAGTATCGTGATGCCAGAGGTGATACTTATTCGTTGTCGATCGATGATTGGTGAATTTAAATATTTTTTTTTTCTATGGTAACAAATCGCGTACGACGAGAAATCATAGAATTGAGTCTTACTAGCGTTGACAATAATTATATTTTATATATATTTACATACAAAAATTCAACAATGTATTTGTATTGACACGTATTTTTATGTTGTAAATTATTACATTGTGATTTATTTCTTAGGCAGTATTGCATTATACATTAGGGAAAATATGTTTTGTGTTATACAAAAAATTTTAATAACACATATAATAAGTAAATATCAAACACTGAATTATCACAATATTAATGAACTTTAGGTTTTGCAGATTTAACCTTTTTTAGTTTCTTAAGGCCATTGATACTTGACTTTAATGAATTCCAATATGCTTGATGGAACTTATTTATGTCCTTAATATGTACCTGAAATGTAAAATATATTTCATTAATGATGATAGGTTTCAGTAATGACAATTAAAATAATAAATAATACATTATAAAGTACACAATACATACAACAGTAGAAATCTTTTTGGATCTGCATGTAGCTCTTATTAAACAAAGAAATTCAGCTGGTGTTGGTAACGCAGGCTTGCCTTTTCTTGGCACTGGTTTGTTGTGTCCATTAACTGAGAGGACAGCATTTTACAAATAAAAATTTTATTTTCCAATTATCTTTATAAAATAACAATACAAATACTTACATCTTTTAATAGTAAATACTATAGAACCAGAAAATCGACATTTATCGAAAAGTCGTATTAATTCCACTAAAAACTAAAATTAATTGTTAATATAAAACCCTTTCGAACTAATATATATAATGTTTTATAGATAAAAAATTACCGTATCATTTTCTAGTAGAACCATTTTGGTAATTTCAAAATATGTTTTTAAGGTTTATCAAATGTAGTAATGTAACACGTTTATGCTGTCAGTATTCGATCATTCGGTCTGCCAAAACGACAACGACAATGATATAACAAACTTAATATAATGGAGAATTTACATGTTAACGACGAAATGCCCCTAACTTTGCACAATTAAATGTATGGTCTGTTATTAAAAATTTGTAACGCTTTATATATTTTTATGAATGCTTTCAGAATAGGAAAATCAATTCTATATATTGTAATTAATTCATTATATCGGTATTAAATACTCCCTTTTAAAAATTTATATAGTAAAAGAAATGTAATGAAATGTAACACACCTTTAATCTGTAGAAATTGAACTTTTCTTGAGTCAAGATTTTGGTATTTATAAAAATTTGTTTTTACGTGAATGAAAATTATTAGAAATATTTCGGTAAAATGAATAATACCAGTATACATGTACAAATTTATAAAAGCGACAAATGTATTTATGAAAAGAATAATAGTGTAGATGCAAGTAATCTGAATCACTTAATTTCTTGTTTGAATGCCACACAAATTGAAATCAATGATTTTTTAACTAGCCTCGTTGTGGAACAAGGCAGTTCTATTGATACAGGAAGTAAATGGAAAAACTCAATAAGAATAAAAAATTTTTTAGTTGCAAGCCTGTAGAAACTAATAGTCTTATTCTTGTCAGTTTTAGATCGGCTAGCGTCGGAAAGCGATTCGGATTTCGAAAACGAAGTTGAAGTTAACCCTAAAAAATCTAAACTAACGGACTAATAATTTTGTAAGATTTCTTTGATATTGTAAAATTTATATAGCATTTAAATGTTATATTTTTTGCATTAATCGTTATCCTATAATGTATTGTCACAACATTATGTGTGCTCCCAAATAAAAACTTGTAATGGTTAGAAACAATAACTAAATAACTAAAATAACTAAAGAAAACGTTAATAAAGATAAAATAAATAAAATAAATAAAGAATGATAAAAAAATATATTTTTTTATTATGTAAACATCACAATATATGATAGTTATAATTTTTCATCTTTAGTTATAATTTTTCATCTTTAATTGGAATTTCATTACAGGTACAACATGGCTACCTTACTCACAAATGAAGCAAAACTACGCTATATAATGGAATGGTTTCAAGAATGGTCTGAAATGGAAAAAAATGACTTTCTGGATGTACTTATCGAAGAATGTGGACCTCCGAATCTTGTTCATAGATTGTTATCTAAGATGAAACATTTAGCAAAAGTTGTAGAAGACAAACCAACTCTGTTTCGATGTCGTATAAAACTCTTTCGACAATGGACTCATAATTGGTCTCAGCAGGAAAAAGACCATTTACTTTCATCAATCAAAAACGCTGATGCTGCATTTGCACAAAAATATGATGAAAAGCTATTATCATTATCACGTACTGAACGTAAAAAACAATCTGACAAGAAGGAAACATAAACAAACACCTTGGAGCATATAATCTTCTTTATTATTGTAGAAGAGGTTTATGAGAGAATGTCTAAGAATAGGAAAAAATGAAAAAATATTTATGATTAAAATACAGTACAATACAGTTTGATATTTATATTTGATGCACATTTTGGTATAATGCATAATGAATGTATTATATATAAATTGAAATATTTTTAATACTTTGTAATAGGTTTATATAGTTTATACTATAGAATTTAAGATTCATATATACATTCCATAATTATTTTGAAATATCTATTTTCTGAACATACTTTTCTTTTCTTTATTTACGAGCATATAATTTTTTTTATAATGATATACAAATGTAATATTTACAAATAATAAAAGAAATTTATAAAAATATATGAAAAAAATGATAAAAAGTATTATTTTTGAAATGTATAATATTTTATCCCTATAATAAGAGATGCCAATTTGTCAAATATTATTTATTATTAGTAATGTATTTAATAATAAATTCTTTTAACTTTATTATTATATTCTCTTTTACGATTATATTATACATTTACTTAATATAATCATGATTAAGTTATTGAAAATTAAATACATATATATCTTATGTCTTAATTGCAAAATAAAAAATGAAAAAATCATTCAAAATATATATGTTTTTGTATATTATTTTAGAAACATTTATGTAGTGCTTAGAATCTCAATTTTTGTATTTAATACTTAGAAATAATCATTTAAAAGGATTTATAAAAGATTTATTTTTTAAATATTTAATAAGAAAGATACATAAAATATCTTATTTTAATAAAAAAGCGAAATGGAGAAATATTGCACGTTTACTCGCTCTTATAAATTACCCTAAAATTATAATTTTGGTTCTTGCTGAAGCCATTTTATACATATTGCTTTAATAGCATTTCGACCAAGCCTATCTGATTCCTTCAAAATTTTTCTTATATCTTGTGCTCTTGAATGTTTCACAGCTAATAGGTATGCTGCTTTTAATTGTTTGCATTCGATATATGCATTTATCTGAAAACAGAAGGATGAATGAGCTTTGTTGCAAAAGATCGGAAATCCATTTGTGCATGCAATTTTTGGTCTTACTTTAAGTTCTATGTCAGTTATTAATTTAATAAGATTATAAATATCATTTTTTAAAAGTGAGTTGGTTTCATCATGTTGATGAGTTAATAACAACTTCACACAGTGAGTCAATACATAATCTGATATAATATATGAATTTGCAATCCCAGACGTATGACAACATTTAATTAATTGTTCTATTGCGGAAATATTGTTCTTCATTCCCAAAATGTGTCCAGTTAGAGAATACACTTTTTGCTGTGGTAAATTGTAATCTAAAATAATAACATCACTTAGATAAAAAAGTAAAGTTGCAAAGTATTTAGACTATATATAAATCAAAAAGAGACCTTGGATTATTCTAAATGCTATGCCAAATCCTTCTTCAATATTTCGTCCACAAAGAATAGCTAAAACAGCCAAGTCAATCTTTTGTTGTTGATCACCAAATAATGTTGGTATTTCCAGATTAGAAGAATTATTAGAGTCCTTTTTTGGGAATATGCTTAAAAAGTGAATAGGAGCTCTTCCCTCTTTTTCACAATTTGCTAGAAACTTTGTAATTTCCATTTGTCTGGAAATTGAATTTATATGTTTATCTATCTCTGATGGTTCCATTTCCATTGTTAGAATTCCTTGATTGCTATACATGGAGCTCGTACTTCGTTTTCTTTTACGACTTAAAATTTCAATTTGCAACTCAGATTCCAAATGTTTTTGGGCGTCGAATAAGAAATTAATTTTAGCATTTAAATCTGAATAGTTGCTTACATCGTTAAGATAAAAGCGGATACAAGTCATTGCAGCACGTATAAAATCTTTCATAAAAAGTTGCAAATGATATAAAATATTCAAGTATTGTCTTTTTTCTAAACTATGACAAATATATATTAAATATTTCTTCCAAATTAATAAATTTGAATCCTTGTTCATCATTGCTTCATGAAGTTTGTCAATACTTCCATTTCTTAAACAATATAAGTAAATTGCATTGAAAAATAAATCGGGTTCCAAATTGTTTTCTAAAGTAAAAATAAGACATTTATCATATTTCTCATGTTTTAAAAAGAACTCTAAAATTGAGTTATAACTTCCATAAGTTAATAAATAATAAATGCTTTCATGATAACAAATATTTTGTACCGTTACAGATGTGTTTTTAATATCAAGCTGTCTTTGATTAGCGATTTTAAAGCTTCCAAAATTATTTAACATTTCTTGCGAGGTATTGAACTTGTATTGATGAGGATGCTGTACATATTGCTTGTATATGCTTAAATTATCCAATATTTGTAGGATTTCTATAAGTAATGGCGGATCTTTTAATGGACGATTTTTTGAAAATTCTATCTTCTTTGTGCTTAATTCATCCACTTTAATTTCTTTGTTTTTATTAGTTTCATTTATTAGCTTCTGAGTTCCATTTTTGCTCAGAATTTCTGATTCTTCTGGATATGACAGAATTACCCAATCATCAAAATTCTCAGGCTGTACTTTATCAAGACAGTGGAAAAATTTGTCTCGTGCTTGATTAAAATATCCCATTTTTAAACATGCTTTACCCCAAGTTGCCCAAACTCCTTGTGTATCTAAACATTCTAAACCTGCTTTAGTGCTTACATCTAAAGCAAGAGTCCATTGTTCTTTTTTAATTAAAAGATCTCTCAACTTTCTTAGGGTGTGATCATGTAGACTATCAGATGGTATTAAATGTAAACAATCAAATTGAATAAGACTTGCAATAAGATCCACTTGCGATAGAAAACGATCACAATGAGCTAGTCCCGTATTAAGACCAAGCTTGGCACATTTAACTTTTGCAGCTACTAACAAGGAACGTATCATTTTAATAATAACTGTGTGATCAACTTCAGGATTTACTCTACCACCATTAACAGGTCGTAGAAGACGTTTCATTTCGTCACAACAATCTAATAGAAAACTATAAATATCCATTTTGTTACATATCCTTACATGAAAGCCTTATGAAATAAATGAAATAATATTTAAAAGTTATTATTACCTAGCATATGTTTGATGTTCGGAATGCAAATTCAGAATAGCTAAACATAAAGAAATGTTTGGGGCATATTCAAATGAAAATTCTTCCCTGATAGTATCATTGTGTTTCTGGTCTCTTGTTAATCGCCAATAATCAAATATTTCACTACTTGGAGTGGACTCTGTTCCTTGAAAAGTGTGTATTTGTAATGCGGTCTGTCGTTTACAGTCGGTGCATACGCGAACAAGTACAGAGGGTGGATAACCAGATACTTGCATGCGATGTTGGGAACATGTTGCACAAATAACCCGGCCACATCTACGACAATGATGTCGTCTATTAAACATTGAAAATATAACACTTTTGCAGCAACTACATTTCCCAGCCTATTAAACAAAAAACATTTAGAACAATCTCAAATGTTACAAACTAATAAGATAGTAATGTTAAAAAAGAAATGCATGTGATTTTAAATACCTTATCATTAGGTATCCATTCTTCTTTGGTAGGAACAACTATAGGCATAACAAACTCAATGTTTTCTATTTCTGAAGCAGAATGTTGTACATTTTTTGGTTTGTTTTCAATAGAATCACATTGTAGAGATACACGACAATCCAATGACTTTTGAGCATAGAATCTTATAATTTTGTCAAAGCTACTTCTTGGGATATCCGTTTGATTTAATTTGTTTTGAATTCTACTTAATATCCTTTGAATACTTTCAAATTTACAATTCATCAGCAATTGTTCTAACATTAATAACGGTTCCTTGATAAGATGAATATATAATGGTCTCTCTTGAACATTTAACATACTTAAAATGTCAATTCCTAGTAGAGTTCGTCTATATTTTATAGTTTCTGTTGCTTTACAATACTGTAATAAATAATTGCAAATAAATCTTAATGAGTCAATAGACTCTAATTTTTTTAAGACAATCTTGCAAAGTTTAATTGACTGATCCAAAGGTAATGCCTGAAAAAACTAGAAAGAACAATATACTTTATTAAAAGCTGAAAATTATTATTTATAATATTAATTTTAGAGTATCTGTTAATATACCTTTAAAGTTTGTTTAAAATTTTGAGATTCATTTTTTAAAAAACCAATTAAAAAATCTTGCATTATAGAAGGATGTATTTCTAAAGAAAATGCTTGACATTCCATCCATTCCAAACACAATTCAAATTTATCTGCATTGATTAGTGATTTGATAATTTGTAATGGGTCAACTTTTTCTGTACAATAAACAATATTATACGAAATTTCGTTGGATTTAATTATACAATATGGAAGCATTTTATGAAAAATTAGCACTCTGTGCAAGATTTCATTCAATTGTAACTTACAATGTATAGGTAATTTGTAGTTATCTACATGATATACTGTATGAAGTAATGCATTCTCACAAATATTTATATGCCATTTGTTAACATTATACAATACTGTTTGGCTTAATATATATATATCTTTAATTTGATATAAATATTGCAATATCACCATGTTGAATGTATCTTTTTTTTTCGAAATTATGTGACTGAGAATTTTATCTCGGAAACATTGCAATTCGCTGCTTAAAGCAATATGAGTTGGCAAAGCATTTATAAGTCTCAAACAACCATCCAATTCATCTTCCTTTAACATAAATTCAAAATGAGACCACAATTTTTGTATTGATATCGCCTCGGATATGGCTGCAAGAGTTTGATTATTTTCAAATAATAGTTTCAATTCCTTCGTCCAATATGACGTTAAAAGATTTTCAAGACATGCAGTGCGTTTCAAGTTATCACAACTGTTTGTTAAAATAGTAGGATTTTCATTATTTATCCTTTGTAAAAGATACGAAACGATCCAATATTGGCCTTCTAAGTATTGTAATAAACTTGGTCTTATATTATGATTTTTCCAGGTAGTATTATACTGATTAATTTGTTTATGATTATATGAATTGGAATAATTTGAATATTTCAATATTACATTGTATGAATAGGAAAGTGGCATATACTGTATAACTATATCTTCATTAAAAGATTTAAAATAATCATTTATTGAAAATAGTTTGTTACTGTTATTACTTATCTGTAAATCATTTTTAAAATTCTGAGAAATGAAAGTTTGATATTGTTCTACAATTTTTGGAAGTAACATTATCTTTTGTTTTTCTATACTTTGAGTAGACTTCTCACATGAGTAATAATTTAGATATTCATGAAAAGCGTTAGTTAAATCTTCATCCAATGAGTCTGAGTTATAGACCTAAAAATATAAATATCAATAAAAAACTGTATAAACATATAAGTATTTTTAATAAATCATACAGAAAAAATAGCTTACTTGTATACGAGGTGACCCTAAAAATTCATTAGCCATTACAAAAATTACTCTTGGATCATGGGTAATGTCCAAATCTTGCCAAGCTGGTTCATTAAGTTCTTCGACTTGTATAAAAAATGTATTATCTAACATTATGTTATTTAATAATTTTGATCTAAGTGCAGCAATTGTTACTAAACCCAAATCACCAATTAAATAACCAACTGACATTGATGAAATTGCATGCTGTAAGTTGTTAAAAGGAGGACGATTTCCCCAAATAGTTAAAGCAGTATGTAGAAACATCAGATTCCATGTATTCAAAAGAAATGCTAATGTTTCATTACCCACAGATAATTCACTCAAATCTAAACTTGCAAGACGAGATGTTTTCTTTAATACAGTTTGAATTTCAGAATAGTTTAAAATAGTTTTACAAACATCAGGATCCAAACGGAATTGATTCACGTTTAAATTATGCAAAATTTGCAACATTTCTGTTAATATCTCTGAAACACATTGATTTGGTCTTTGAAGCTTGTAATTTAAATCCTATAAATTAAGATATTATTATTATTTGGTTATTTAAATTTGTTATACAATTCTCTAAAAATTTTTTATACACACCGACTTAGATGAAGCTTTGTTCAAAACAATACATCCATTTTCCTTACTAATAATAGTATAACTTGTATCTTCTCGATAAGAAAGTTTAGGGCAAGTATTTGTAAGGATACTATACGACAAATTAACTTGTAAATCATGAGCAATTGCTTCAAGTTTTTGTGGCTCAATTTTAAGTTCAAATATTTGGTAACCAAAATAATAATGTAATGGAATTTTTAATAAATCAGAAACTGTAGACATTGTATGTTCAGTTGGAATAATTGAATGTAAAAGTTGTAAGTGAGAGCACATATTTTGCATATATTTCCGAGATCCGCAAGCAACTGTTACTATTTTGCTAAGTATTTTTAAACCAGGCAAATAATTACTATCTTTTAATATTTGATTAATTGTATCTTTATCAGTCTGTGATTCTTTAAATTCATGATAATTAATCATAATATCAGTCCAAAAGTTTTCCTTTTCTTTACATTCCTTTATGCATAATGCAATTCTTGCATCACAGAGTATATCTTCTACAGAAACCACATCTTTCTTTTCATATAACAATTGACAAAATTTATGAAAGAAGTATACATATTCAGTATTATCAAATGTTTTACACAATTTTAAGTATTTCACTGCAATTTCACAAAGATTCTGTGAAATTGGGTAAGTTTGACTCATTGTTAAAGCCAAATCTAACGCACATATTGCTAATATTTCATTATTGGTGAGAATTTCCATAGATAATAATCGCAAATTCATTTCTTGAGATATCAAAAACGTTTCAAATTGACTAGTTTGTCTAGAGGATTTTATACCCTCTTGTGTAACTAGCCTTATATTCTACAAAAATATTATTGTAAGATTAATTACTATTAATTATTATTCTTATAGATTATATTAATTAATTGTTACTGTGTACCTCTAGTGTAGAAAATTGTGAGTTCTCTGGAGATTGACCATTATTTTTCAATGTATTTGCTTGTTTACATACATTTTCCCTAAGTGTACGTAATGCTTTGGAAAACTGCACTTCCCCAGTTAGCTGGGTATTCTTCATATTGCATGTCTTAAAAATCAGAACATATTAATATAGATATTAATTAAATATGTTATTTCAAAACGTATTTTCTACATGGTTGTTACTGAATGTTTCTGTTTTATCATTACCATTGCATAAAGTTGAGTATTAATATTTTATTAATTGCTATTATTACAATCTTTTTTACTAATCTTTCTCTATGCAGATCAATTTACGAGATAAAAAAGTATTCGAGATTGCCTCTGATAATAAAGATTATGATGAACAAAGTGAAAATGAAATGATACAGCCTAAAGAATTAAGAAATTTAAACTTTTATATAGAAGATGAAAATAGATACAGACCACTACATTCATATGTAGACAGTTACAATAAACATGAAACCATAAATAAAATACAGCATACAAATATGTATTTCCATTTAAAATCAAAAATATGGGAGAACTCTAATATAGGGGAAGATGATGCACCATTTATTGCTGGTTTTAAGGAAAATCTTGATAAAGTGATTACTACCAGTTTATCATTAGATAATGATAAGAATGTAGCTTTATTAATATTTACTTTCAGATTATAAAAGACAGGAATTCAAAATTTGCAAAATAATTCTTCTTTTTCAAAGATAACTAATGTTGCTGCTAATATCAATAAGAATAAAAGATCAATTTCTGCAAACATATTTGAAGAAGATCCTAGATATGCTGATAGTACAGAACCAGGAGAAGAAGCCTATGACTATGATCAGTTCAAAAAAGAATATGAAGGACAAATTGAAAAATATATAAATTCTAACAAAACTTTAAACTTTACTGATGAGGGAAAACTAGAAGAACATCCTAAAGAGATATTACAAAAATTAGTTGATTTCAAAAATTGTACAAACCTAACTGGAATATTTCATATTAAACCACTAAATTGTTTAATGTACAATTATGAACAACAAAAAGATAAATGTGTTGTTAAAAGAACATTACGCAAAATAGGTCTAACAATTAAAGTTTGGTTTTTGATTTATGTATGTGTTGCAGTTCCTTGTTGGTGCCATAGAGGTAAATTACATTATTAAAGATTTCATAAAATAAGAATAGCTTTAAATACATGCCAGTGCATTGTTCTATAGGATGGTGCTGCTGGTGTTTCCATTTTAAATTTTGTTTTCCAAAAAAAAGAATATTATTTGCAAAGCAATATTATGCAAGTAATCCTCCTGGTATATTCAGACAAATTGAAAGAAAAGGAGAAGAAGAAAAAGGACCAACTAAATACAAGCCTACTGAATTTGAAGAAGACATGTATAAAAAATTAGAAACTGCAATAAAAAACATATAAATAAATTATATTAATAAAGTTACCTCTATAATATCTTGTGCTTTTGCATAATCATTTTTCCATAAACATCTAATAATTAAGCTTTCTTTTGTTGCTAGCATGAAGTTCACAAATAATGGTTTATGGATGATGTCTTTAGTTGTTATATCATCTGTTGTTAATACTAAACTATTAGAACGTTTTCGCCATTTAGTATTATGTACTAGTTCTGATTCAGAACTATTACTAGATCTTGTCTCTGTTTCATCTGAAATATTACCTTCTTGATAAAAAAATATCTTTTCTTTGGAACAATCGGAAGGTAACTTTCCACCTAATAGAGATTTAGGTTTAAATTTAGATAAGTAACTTCTATTTTCATATTTCATATTAATATTTTTAGTAAATTCCGAAGTTGTATAAAGTTCAAATCTCCATTTAGCATTTGTTATTGCTGCATTGATAGAAGCAATATTATTTTGAATTTGTTCTTTTTCTTCTATAGATTCTTCTGTGCATGCAGTTTCTGTTATCGAGATAATATTCTCTAAGTGGAATAATATATCTCTCACAGCATATTTGTTACAAATAAAACCTCCTAGATGTTGTTTCATCCACTTACTTTCGAATTTTAATTGCTCATGGGATTTATTTATATAGCTTTTGTCATAACTTTTTTGTGTATGACCAAAGTCTTCATATCGCAAAAAAAGTAAAGAAAATATATTTTCTATTACTTGTATTCGTAGATTAAGCGGAAATAAGATTTTTATATAATGATCCATATCAAAAAAGTACTTTGATATAATAGATTGCTTTGCTTCATAACTATTACACAATAAGACACCTTTCAAAGCACTTAAAATACTACAATATGCTATGAAGACATTTTCAGATTCGCAAACATCTTTTAATAAATTTTTTACTTTTTCATAGTTTTGTTCATATATATCTGTTGTCATTTTTAATACTAAAAGACTATCAAAATGTTGTAAAAGATTGAATATCTGCTGTATAGAAAGCTTTTGCTGAAAGTCAGTTGTCTCTGTTATCTCATCATGATATATGTTATTTGTTTTAACATCGTCTCTTCTGCAATTTAGGATATATTTCAAAATTTTTACATTTTTCCACAGTACATTTTGTAATTCATTCAATGTGGGATCACATAATACATCAAAATTACATTTAGGTATTAAAAATTCAATTGAATTACATATGAAATCATAATCTTTCTTAGCATTATTTAAAAATATTTCTTCTTGCGAATACTCATGCAAAACTTTAAATAACAAAACTGGCCAAAATGCTTTTAATAATGTACAGGATAGTATTAATGAAACATCATTATATCGTCCATTTATCATTAAAATATAACACATGTCCTAAAAAAATATTAATATTACATACAAATATTTTATAATCTCTTATATAGTAATTTATATCCTGTTACTTACCAAAATGTCTATGATCCAATGTAATTTATTATTACTTATTCTTTCTATAAGATTATTCTTATTTAGAATAGGGACAGAAGCAGAAGGAAAATGAAATAATATTTTCTGAATTTTCAATACATGATTCAAATTGTTATTAGGTTTGGAATGTATATAAAATTCACTAAGAAAAGTACACCATTTTTTTAAAAAGTGATGATCTGTTCTTGAATACAATGCAAATTCAATATCTTGAATATTTTTAGTTTTCAACATCATAGGAAAAAGCCATTTTGACAATGTAGGATCATTAAATTCAACAATATTCATTTTTGAGATAATACATAATATACATCCAAAATAATTGTCATTGTCTGATTTCTGTTTAGATAATTCAAATTCCATCAATTCTTTTATCAGCAAAAAATAAAAATTTTGTAGATTATAAATAATATTAACTGATGACTTAGGATAAATTAACAATAATTCGTTAAGAATCCAACATGTAATAAATGGATTATCACAAACATTTTTTTTCAAAAGTATAAAATATCCATTCTGTATTTTCTCAAAATCTTCTGAACTTCTTTGTTCTAAACTATTTTTATAGAATGCTAGTAACTCCTGTAAAATGCATAATATAAAATAAATTATGAATATAATTGAAATAAAATATATAAATGAATTTGTATAAATTAATTCAATTTTAAAATACCTGTTGTAAATATATTGTCAAATTTTTGTACAATTGCAAAGCATATATCATTTGAACATAACTTTGTGGTTTTTCTACATATTTAGTATCTAAAGCTATATTGTTGAGAAATTTATGCAATAATATATAATTTATCCATTGATATTGATTTTCATTCTGAGAATGACTGTAAAAGTATATAATACAAAAGTTATTATTTATTTTAAATGGTTTAAAAAAATATTTTAGTAGTAGTAGTAAAATATTTAGTTTTACGTATATACATATATTGTATATGATAAATAAAACATTTTTAATATATAAAATTTCATTATATATACTTACATTAAATTTGTAATCAGAGTTTTTGACTCGACAAAATCCTCAATATCATTGTTACATTGTGAAAAAAAAGATTTGTTATTATTTCTCCGGTAAATAATAAGAGACGTATACCATAATTTTGATAAAATGTATTTATTTATCTCCATTGTCCTTGTTTCTCTTGACATGTTTTTAAAATTTACTTACTATAAAAAATAACCACAGTGCACAAAGTATTTCAGTTATACGTCACATATTGACAATACCATTAAACTTTACTTTAGAGGTTCAAAAATTACTGACTTTTCTTTCGCAAGCTTATAATTTTTAATGTACAGAATCCCAAAAAACAAGTTTTACAGCGGGGACTCCAATAATCCAAAGGTTATGATTAAGTTGTCAAACTGAGCATTTTTAAGGCATTTTACATGTTACTTTGACGCCATATTGCTCCTATTCATCATCTGATTGGTCCACACCAATCATATAAATAAACATTATATGACATTGTATTATATAATTTATATTAAATAAACATTATATGACTGTGATCCGCACAGGTGAGCATTGGACTGAATTTCACCGAAAGTTAGTTTGTACAAGGCTGAATCATGATCATATAAACAAGCATCAACACTTGCTAGGGAAAACCGTTCAAAAATTGAATCGTGAAAAATCAACATATAAGACAAGGAGGTTCTCATTTTACGCATTTTGCGTGACATGCTAGAATGCTTAGACAAATAACATACAATTACAGATACTGTCTGTCTCGCAAGAATGCGAACCTTTGAAGAATATTGATCTTTCATGTTGATTTTTCATAACTAGACACAACTTGATTTTTAAACGATTTTCCTTAATGAATGTTGAGATTTGTTCATATGATCGTGGACTAGACACAACTCAATCTCCGAGAAAATTTTCCTGGCAAGTGTCGCGACATGTTTATATGATCGTGCTTCAGATTATATGATTTATGCTACACTTGTATGTTTCTACGGTACTTTAAATTAATTTTCTTGTAATAAATAAAAAGAGTATATACAATGAATAAGATTAGTAGAACATTAGTGAAAGATTCAATGATAATCCATAAATGGACTACTTTATCAAATTTTAGTACAATATCAAGCTACGGTAATGAAATTTCTAGCCCTCTTTTTACAATCTTTATATATCATGTATACATATTATATTTTTTATAGATGTTTCAATTGTTAAAAATTTAATAACAAATAATAAGATTTTGGACAATGAAAACACTATGAAATATATTGGAGAAAATATTAAAAACATGGATGCAAAAACTGCTGTTAAAACTATAAATATTTTATATCAAAAGTTCAATAGAAATATAAAATTAGATCAGACGGACTTCACAAATTCCAAAAGATTTGAAAATATTTGTAAAGTGATACTCAAAGATGTTAGATCTTTAAGCAGATATGATACTATAAACATTTTACGATGTTTACTATTTTTTAATGTTCCGGCTAACAGTGTATTAATTCAAACATTGCTTCAAATGATACGTGTTTCCTTGAATGATTTCACAGTTGGACAGATAATGATTCTATATAATATGTTATACAATATGGAAAAATCATTTCTGTCTGAATCTTTACTTCATGCATTACCTTATGCTTTTAAACAGCAAGCTCAAATTGAACTTAATTCAGATAGTACTAATTTGTTTCAAGCCCTTAACTTCTGTTCTATGATAAATAATTTAACTGTAAAAAGGCATATTCTCCGAGTTTTACAGAAAAATAAAAACAGAATAAATTTAGACAATGTAATGCCAGTTTTTAATGCAATATATAGTTTACCAAAGTTGTGTCTACCTTCTACACGACTTCTGTCTTATGTACAACATATGATATTGATTAATTGTAATAGATTAAATTTCAATGAAATCGAGCATTTACTTCGTTGCATTTCTAAAAAAGTTCTAAATTCGTAAGTATTATATAATTAAAATTACTTATATCATACAAATATTTATATTATTTGTAATTTTTTTTTCTAGAGAAAAGAAGTTCTATAAAGAAGCATTAATAAATAAATTATGTTCTACTGTGTTAATTAGCAATACTACTTTGGAACAAAAATTAATCATCTTACAGCATTTAAATGACATACGCTTTTGTAATATTCCTTTGTTAAATTGTTTAGTGGAAAAATATCTTAAAAATCCAAATATTTTAAAAAGATATTCTATTGATATACATACATTTATCAAAGGCTATACTATTGCTGATTATATACCACATAATTGGGAAACTGTAGGCAGAAAATTGTACAATCTTATTATCACTATAGATTGTTCAGTATCTAACACAGTGTCTACTGCTTTCCATTTACTTTCACTAAATTTTTATTGTCCGGAATTAATAGAAAAGTCTTTCATATTATATAATTCTTTCTGTGAAAAAAATTCATTTCTTTCTGTAAGAGATATTACATTATCTGTGTTAAAATTATATTGGTGTATAAAACAGCTTTATCCTGGATATAATGGGTTTGTGCCAGATGAAAGCAAATTAAATGAAATTAAAATTGAACGTGACAGTAGTGAAATACCTTATTTAATAGATAGTCTAAAAGAAGCTGTTGGAGGTACTGAATACATAAAAAGTGGTTTAAGAACAAAATTCGGCGAATTTGTTGGTAAACATATTTGTGAATAATCATAACCAAACAGCAATGATTTGCAGCTTCAAATCTTTGATTTTTATTATTTTAGATTACGTTGTTGTCATACAACCAGATGGCTCTTTTATAAATACTAATAATTATGATAATATTACATTTGTTGAAGAACTAGCATCGCTAACAGAATGTAGCAAGTAAGAAATAATTTTGAAGTAGTTTAATAATTATTCCATTAATCCAAAAATAATGTTTATTTTGATTTACAGAATTCTCTTTTTCGCTTTCCCAATAGAGGCATATTCTATTAATAAAGGAAATTTATTATCTACAATGAAGATACAATTAAAAATAATAGAAACATTACCAGGTTTCCACTCCTTTGTTATAAATCCATACCTCTGGGAGAAGTTCTCTGATAAAGAAAAAGTGTTACATCTTCAGAAAGCCATACAATTGAAACAGTACAATTCAAAATGATAGTAGTTCATAAATTGTTTATAAAAATAAATGTAATTTAATAAATATAAAAAATTGTAAAAATAAGAAACAAAATCATTTTTCATACTCCATGTATTATGGTATTTTTGTTATAAGATTAAGATAAATATATTTGTTTTAATAATATATTTAACATATTTTAATACACAGGGTGAGGCACTTAAAACAGGCTGCTTGAATATCTCGGCCGTTATTGATGATAGAAAAAAGTATGTCTGACCACACTTGCATGGTGGATCTTTGATAAGTAGTTTTTTTGAATGGAATAATGTCTTTTTTACGTGCCATCCAGTAGAGTGTTTTAAGATGCATACAATGACCAGACAAAATCACAGTCATCTAAAATCAATTGCATGAGACAATAATTTACTTTATGAGAACGGTTGAATAATTTACTTTATGTAATGGTAATTTATTAATACACTGTTACTTTAGATACTTAAAGTGGTGACCTTGACTATTGATGCGTCTAAAGCGTTGCGAGAAATCAATCACGGCCGGATTAATCGCGAATTTTTATTTATGGGGAAACTTAAAGCAGCAAATGTACAGCAGCAAAAGCAGCAAATATCAATAACCAGAAAAAAAATGTATTAACATGAGCATCGATGGTCAAGATCACTATTTTTAACATTTAAACTAGCAGTGTACTGGTACAGTAAAAAATCACCATTACATGAAATAAATTATTTTCTCTTGCAATTGATCTTTAATGACCTCAAATTATAGTGCGCCATCATTGTGCGCGTCTTAAAACACTCTGTTAGATGACACGTAAAAAAGCATATAGTTCCACTAAAAAAAACGAATTTGACCTTCATATGACCTTTATGGGTCTACCTATCAAAGAACTATTTACATCAAATTATGTGTCTCTCAACACCATACAAGTTTGATGTGACATATTTTTTCCTATCATCAATAAAAGTGGAAATATTCAAATGACCTATTCAAAGATGTTAATATTATTAAAACTAGGACTTTCCAAAAGTTTAAAGAAATATTTACAATGAACTCTTCATTTATGTAACAATTTATTTATATGAAAATATTTATAACATCAACAATTAAAATGTATAATTTCAGAATCATATATTTCATAATATATTTCTACAAAATTTGCATTATAAATCAAATAATTTATATACTACTAATTTTAATGTATTGATGAATTTTTGTATAGATGAATATTTTTGCATAGGAATAATGTAAATATAAGTAACATATATATCGAAGATAATAGTTATTAATGTATAAATAATGTATTTCATGACATGTTTCTCTCCTATAATTGTTAATAAGTTATATAAATGTAAGTTGATATTGTTATTATGAAAGACATATTTTGATAAACACACAAGTAATGCTTTTAAACATAGACAATATATTGATAACAGAATAATTAAAATGTAAAATAGCACCCAGTAGCACCATTTTCTGAATAAAAAACAATTATTAATATCACTGATTTAGACCAAATAATTTCAAAGCATTGAAAGCAGTAGCTAAGGCAACCTCTTCTGGAGCAATTTGCATAAATGCTGCTACCATTTCTACTATTGCTGGTAAGGCACATGGTTCATTACGTTGAAAAGTACAGTAACGATGAAGAAATGTCATGGATCGTTCAGTTAGAGCATCTTTAACATGTATAGGTAATTTGCTGGCTCTAGTATTAGGATACATGAATGGAGCATCCGTTTCTACTAATATTCTGTCTAGAGGTGCAAGTCTTTTTTCCAACAGTTGTCTTATTCCACTATCAGATTTGTCTTTGCATAAATATCCTGTAATTCCTAGATAAAAACCATGGTCTAAATAAATTTGTGCTTCCTTTGCAGTTCCGATAAATGAATGGATTAAAACTGGTGGTAAACAATTTTTATAGTGATTCAGAACTTCTAGAACATCTGTCTGAGCACCTCTTTCATGTATTACAAGTGGCTTAGTTAATTGACATGCAAGTTCTACTTGTTTATGAAATACAGCACGTTGTGTTTCAGGATCAGAAAAATCACGACTATAATCTAAGCCACATTCTCCTACTGCTACACATTCGGGATTATTAGCTATGCTTTCAAGTTCTTGCAAAGTATCAGGATTTTCCCATGATTTTGCATCATGAGGGTGCACACCAGCAGTAGAATAAAGAGTACCAGGATATATCCTAGTTAATCTTAGTGCCTCTTTACTAGAACGAATACTTGCACCTGTTACCATAATCTTTTGTACCCCTGCATCCTTTGCTCTTTGAATTACGCTATCTAAATCTCTGCTATATTTTTTATTAGTAAGATTGGCACCAACATCAACTATGATATAATTCTCATAACATTGTGTCATAGCTGAGGAAATAGCTTTTTCCTCTGCATTTGATGCAGTAGTATTTTCAGCCATTCCTCAATATTCAACTGCAATATCTGAAATAAAAAATAATAATAATAATTATTGGAAATATATATTGTTCATTGTGAAAAATATATCAGTATAAACATAAAGAATTAAAAAAGGTGACAATATTTATCAAATTTTATTACATTTAGTTATTATTGAAATAATGATACAAAGAAAACAATGTATATATGATAGATGATTAAATTACTTAACCATAGTAATTTGAGAAATAAATGAAATATATAATCATGAATTTATACTAAATATTATAATATAGATATTTTTTTAGATACTAACAACAAGATACAATATGCATTTGTTGCCAACCAGTTAAAACTGCTTTGAATTAATCTGAGATGTCAAAATCCGTATTTTTATAAATGATGTATATGATCATTTGAGATATATAACTATATATATGTATACATATAAAGATATTTTATCAATAAATTCGTAGTGCTTTCTTCTTGCTAAATATTTTTTGGAACTAATACAAAAGCATTACACATGCACGGCACTTGATCATATAATGATACACAATGTTGTCTTGCACGCTATACCACACAACCAATTCTTTCAATAAGTTGATTTAATCAAACACATAGGCTTTTGGTACTGTCGAATCGTACAAGCTGTTACTGTAACAAAGCACTATATGTGTCGATCTTCCCAAGAGACTGTTCTATAATTCATTTTATTATATATATAATACTTATTAAATACAATATATTTAACTTCTTATAAAAAAGTAAAAACATCAATTCCCGTTAAATTCCCGTAAGATTTACTATTTATATAAATGATATATTATTTATATAGTACATTGAAATTATAGAATAATTTCAATACTTTCACCTTATATAAACTGAATTGGTTAATTTCATATCATAATTGTTACAAGAAAGAATATAGCCTAAAATCATATTACTCAATATACGCGGGAAATATAATTATCATGAAGGTAACTATCTTATGAAACATTTTTATTATTGTTTAACGATGTAAAGTAGTAAAATAATTTATTATTGGAGTATTAATCTATCATAATAATACTCAATATAATATCTATTTTACTTTCAATTTTGTTTTTATCTTAAAAACGTTATATACGACATTTATACACAATTATTTATTAGGTTGTTTTTTTTTACAGAAAAGGAAAACAAGACGTCAACTTCTGGCTGAAAAAGAAGCTATTGCTAAAAGCTTAGTTGATAAAGCAAACTCTGTGAAAAATCCCTTAGAGCCCTTAAATTTCTTTCATAAATATATGACAAAGGATAATCAAACTATTGAACTCTCTTGCATGAAAGCCATAGATGCACAACCTAAATGTATTCTTTGGATTTTTGATATTATGGAACGTAATATGAAATCTCTGTATGAACAAAGTGATTGGGGTTGGGATTCAGTCGCCAAACAAAAACAATTAACAGAGCCAACAGCTTGGTATTTAGTAGCAACTTCCAATGAGAAATTTGTTGGGTTTTCTCATTTTCGTTTTGATATAGATTATAGGGAAGAAGTACTGTATTGGTATGTAGATCTTATACGTATATTTATAATTTATAGAAGATGACAAGTTTTATTTTATAATTTTTTTTTTATAATTGTTTTTCAGTTATGAAATGCAGTTGGAATCCACAGTACGACGAAAAGGTCTTGGCCATTTTATGATGTCTGCTCTTGAAGCTATGGCATCAGAAAACAAGATGCGTAAAGTAGTTCTGACTGTACTTAAACTTAACCCATCGGCTATGCAATTTTTCTATTCCCTTGGGTAAGTAAGATATAATTTATAAATATATAAATATAATTTTATTGGGATATAAAAACTAATAACTATACAACAGAAAATTAATATAAGGAAAATTTTTTACACCTTTAACTTTATTACAGAATTTTTAATACTTAGAATGTACATACATACATACAGATGTATAAAATTACATTTTCTAAAGTAATGGTACGACTAGCATGGAGATGTAATATCTTATAAAAACCCACATTTTATTTTTCAGTATAACTGCAAGAATATGTTTCTGTATTTTTGTATTCATATTTATAACAATATGAATAATAATAATAATAATAATGATAATCAATAATAATATCAATTAAATATCTATGGTAATGAACAAAATTACAAAAAATATTTTATATTTTTTTCTGTTGAATATCATAATTAAATATCTTTCTTGATAAAAAGTAGATCACAGTAAGAAAAAGTATCTTATGTAAAAGAGGATTCATATATGTGCCTTATACAAGTTATAGTTCTTGTATGCATGAAAAATTTCATAACAATACGGAATTAAAAGCATATAAAAATAACGGTATCCACTAAATTGTAATTGTAAATCATTTTTTCCAACTGATATTGTTACAGCTACAAGATGGATAAAACCAGTCCACCAGCATCTGATCAATTGGATTATATCATTTTGAGTAAGGCCGTTGATAGTGGAACAATGAGCAGAAATCTTAATTCTTTTTAATGAGTCTAAGTGATCATTAAATTCTACGTTTAAGATTGTGTCTTGTGAAATAAGATTGGTAATATTTGGTGTGGACATAAATTAACAATAGGCGATTTCAACGATGGTCCTACATTATGGAATGTAAGTGGAGCTTTACTAATAACCCAATCATCTATATAATTAAGAAATTTTGTTAAATCAACTTCTACGGATTCGGAAACATTAAAATAACGCAAATAAGAATTATCATTCCAACACATGTCTAAAGCTGCTTGATGTAAAACCATTCCAATACCTTTACCAGCTCCTTCTGGGATAGGAAATACTCGAAAGTTAACAACGCTTAGATCCGCAGGAAAATCGTAACGAAGTGGCGAGAAATACGCATTTAAATTAAAAGGTAAAGAATTATGTGGATGCATTGCAATTATAGGGTGTAATAGTTCTTCTGATGCTAAATGGCCATATAATGAGAGTACACCTGATGGGTGATTTGTTGGTGGTGTCGAAGATATACAAAAAGACTTCTTTTTTTCGAGAACAAACGTGAATATATGATTTGTTAACAAGTTATCAGTTATACCTTGTCCAAGTCCTCTGTTATCATCTTGAAGTAATCGTCTATCCTGCATAATCTGTATAAAAATATTATATATGTACAGTGTGTATATATTATATATTCTTACACGAGTGAACGATATATTAGATACATACTTCAATTTGCCCAGGTGCCATAGAACTTACACCTAATGGTTGTGCTGTTACAACTGTTAGTCGAAGCTTCTTATCTTCTATGTATGTACTTGACGCCATTGGGTAATAGTTTCCTTGTGTAGGAAGCTTTGGAAATCTTTGACGCTTAATCATCTAAATAATAATCATTCTCTTAAACATATTTACTAGTGATGATGGAATATTTTAGATATTTTTACTTACATTAAGGCCATTTAGATCTGTATAGAATTGGTCTCCTGAAGCTATATCTGTACTTAGTCTCATAGCAAGTTCATAATTTTGCGTTTCTGATATGTTAATTTCATTATGAACACGTAAACCAAGTCCATCAGTACCAGGAGAGTTGTATAATATACAAGTATGACGTACATGTGCAAATTCTACAAATACTTTAGATACAATGGGTCCAGTTATTAAGTGTATAATACATTTATTGTCCATATATACTAAATCTGGTTCTGCTTTATCAGGTAAGAATAAATAAGCTCCACTTTTATCTTTACCAGAACCTCTGGTACCATATTTAACAAATTCTAAATGAACAGGTACTGTTATGTTAGTGACTCTTAAAGCTTTCAGAAGACCTGACTTTCCAAAAGATGCAGATAATTCTGGTCGTTGTGTAATTGAAAATTCTTGTGCATTTGGTATTACTTGAATTTGATTAAAACCTGGTATTTTTGGGAGGTTTATATCTGTATTAAAAACAGTTATGTTCGCAACATGCACTTCCCTGCATATAATAAATAGTAAAAAGTTGAATTGTAAAAATAAATATTTAATAATTTAAAAAATGAAATTACGTACGGTGGAAACGATGATTTCGACAAAGCGTGAATTACGTATGTTGTAATA